CCCAGCAACGCCTGCGCCCGTTGTTCCAGCAACACCTGCTCCCGTTGTCCCAGCAACACCTGCACCCGTTGACCAGCCTGCACCCACTGTCCAGGAGATTCCTGCTGCTCCAGTAACCCAGGCAGCACCCACACAACCTGAGGTGCAAGACGCGATTCCTCCTGTCGCCCTGGATGCCGAGGAAGATATCCCAGTGCCCCAGTCCAGCGCCAAGGAAGAGAAGCCATCTCCCGCAGAGATTGTTTCCATAGCTGACAGCGACCCAGAAACAGTGCCGACTCCTCCCCCTCCCACAGCAGAGGAAAGGGAGGACACTCCTCCTCCCCAGACGGTCACACCTGTCCTTGTTGAAACTACTATGCAACGTCAGTTAACTACAACATGTTATAACTATTTTACTATATTTTAGAATTATAATCTCCATCATTAATAAAGACTGCTTTGTCAGATATTTTGTTGCTCATGTGAGGGAGGCTGATTGTTTTTGTCTTCCTGTAGCTGCTACGTTTGTGCAAAAGAAAAAGAGGAAGATGAAGGAACTGAACAAAAAGCAGACAGTGGGAGACCTCCTGGATGCCTTTAAAGAGGTGTGTGTGCAGTAATGCATTTATTCATGAGCCTACAGTAACTCCAAACCCGTTAACACTGGCAAAGACACAAATTTAAGCCTCTTTGTATGATTCAAATCAACATGTAAATGTCACAGTCCAGTGAGAAAAGTGGCTTCTCTCTGTCTTCATTTGAATGTAGCCCTGCAGCGTGGTTTCATTTAGCATATCGCATCCATTCTAAAATTGCAGTCTCACTGACCAAACCCCTCTCACATCTTTGAACCAGGAGCAGGTCGTGGCCACACCAGAGCCCGAGCCAGCCTCTGCCGCAGCACCAGAGACCCAGCCCCCTGCTGCTTCCCCTCCTGCCCCAGAGGAGGCGGACCTGACCTGGGAGGACAAGGAGGACAAGGAGGACAAGGAGGACAAGTTGGATGCTGAGAACATTCAGCCAGATTCGCCGACCGACAAGAAGTACCAGTACAAAGAGGGTGGGTCTCTGAACCTTGATACCTTTCAGTGCCTCGTGCCGGCAATTCTGCGTGAATAATGCTCTTATCTCACGTACGTTCACGAGTCGGCAATGTGGCAGCTGGCTATGTATACATTTGCTTTGTTGAAAATTAGGGAGTGGCATTCTACCTGATTGTGCTTCTGTTGATATGAGTGTTTACTGGAAAATGATAGTTATATGATAAACTTTGTTGAAGTTCATTAGATACTACCTCTTAAATGTATCCACAGATGTTTGTGTTACACAAAGCACAGACCACATATACCATAGACTGCAGTACCCATTCATTCATTCATTCATTCATTCATTCATTCATTCATTCATTCATTCATTCATTCATTCATTCATTATATGCCACCTTGTGGACATTATGAGGCATCTACAACATCTACAGTTATACTATACAACTAGTGGGGTTGAAGAGCATTGTGTCTATGACTTTATGTCCCAGTTCAATTGTAGTGTAACTTTACTGTTTGGGTTCCTCTTTCAGAACAATGGAAGCCGATCAACCCAGAGGAGAAGAAGCAGTATGACAGAGAGTTTCTTCTGGGCTTCCAGTTCAGCTCAGCCAGCATGAACAAGCCTGAGGGTCTACCAGCCATCAGTGACGTTGTCCTAGACAAGGTGCAACCTTGCAACCACTAAAGACATGGCCATACTTTTGGCCTTAAATAATTTCTCTTTTTTTCTCATGTACTTTAAATTGTTCTGTATAAATATGATTACCCTCCATTGCTGTTGACAATCTGTCCTTCTTATGAGTTTATTTTTTTCAGTAATATACAAGTAAAGTTTTCATTGTGATGTTCATTTCTGTTAGGCTAATAAGACCCCTCTGCGTCAACTGGACCCCAGTCGTCTACCAGGAATGAACTGTGGCCCCGACTTTACACCCTCCTTTGCCAACCATCGCAGCCGCGCTGGAGGAGGAGGAGGAGGCGGAGGCGGAGGAGGAGGAGGAGGAAGCAGAGGACCAGTAAGTTAACATCTTCTTAATGTGATCCCAAGAGCTCTGCACTTGAAGTTCATAGCCCATGAATGAAATCACATCTCTGTCCCTTCTTCCTCTTCCTACTCTGTCTCCTCTCTCGCCTCACAGCCTCCTGGTATGGGCATCGGAGTTGGTGGGCCACGTCGCTCTCAGCCGATCCAGAGGAAAGACCTAAGGAAAATCCTCACCACTGTGTCACTCAGTGAGGAGGTGCAGCTGAATAAGGCAGAAAAGGCGTGGAAACCTTCAACAAAAAAAGCCGTTCGCAGCCGCAGTGGAGAGGAAGCTGAGGAGAACGATCCAGAGCAAATAAAGACACAGGAGCTATTTAAACGGGTTCGCAGCATCCTGAACAAACTGACCCCCCAAAAGTTTCAACAGCTGATGAAACAGGTGACGGAACTGACTATTGACACTGAGGAGAGATTGAAAGGAGTCATAGATCTTACCTTCGAAAAGGCCATTTCCGAGCCAGACTTTTCGGTGGCCTATGCCAACATGTGCCGCTGCCTTATGGGGGTAAGTGTTGCCACACACAGTATGGAAATATGTGTTTACTGTAGAACTGTTGTGGTCAAAGGAGAACAGTTGTGCATGGAACTCGTGTGTGTTGATATGATATGAGGTGTTAAAAGATATTAAAACTAAGTACTTTTTATTGGTCATATAAAATACATAATCCCTCCTGATGATGTTTACAAACCTCAGACTATTTTGGAGTGATAATGCATTTTTCTGGAGACTAAACTTCACAAGATTCATTCAAGCCTAGCATTTTTTTAATATAATGAATCTTTCTAAGAATTGCGCCTGATTGTGGAAAAATACTCTTTGAAGATAAACACAATCGGATCGGTTATGTTGAAAAAATTTCCTGAGGTACTATTAAAATAAGAAAATAGTCTTCATTCTTAAAGCCTCTTAAAGTAAAACCTGATCATGAATTCCATATTAGCTTATCTTGTTCAAGTATGTTTTAAGTAAGTGCAGCTAATTGTTTCATTGTGTCACATGCTCACTTTCTCCTGTCAAGCTTTTGAAAGCTTCTCTCACTGTTAGAATTTTTCAGACTCACCAGTCATTTTTCACTGGTTGACTTGATGATTTATTTATGTACTAAGATGATTGGATATGGGGCTCCAAAACACAAGACAACAGAAACTCCCCATAATGCAAAACTCTCTTAATGTGACCGACTCACTCTGGTCACACAATGACCAGTAGTTGCTCCAAGGGGAGGATAATAGAACCACATTAATTCCCACAATAATTATTTGCTGATTGAACTTATCAGTAACTCCTTGTTATATCATTATATCCTCTAAATCCTACACACTGGACCTTTTTTAAATTGGGTTTAATAAATAAAACCCATAGAAGTAGTGGAAGTATTTCTATGATAAATGTACAATTTATTATCAGAGTACTTCAAACACTAACTTTACAAAAAGTAAAACAGCTTGTCATGTGTTCACTGTGGCAGTCCTACTTTACAGATGTCTCTTGAATGACCTTAAAATAGTGCCACGTGTCTGTGCCACTGATCTAAGTGATGGGATTGAAGAGTGACTTGAAGTACATAACTGTACACCCTGTCTGTTCCTGCTCCTTTTTTTAAATGTACATTTTCTTTGCTCTATTTAGCTTAAAGTCCAAACCACAGATAAGCCGGGAGTCACTGTGAATTTCCGCAAGCTGCTACTAAATCGATGCCAGAAGGAGTTTGAAAAGGATAAAGATGACGACGAGATCTTTGAGAAGAAGCAGAAAGAGCTGGAAGCTGCCTCGGAGGTATAATACCGCCTCACAAAAGTTGCTGTCCTCCTCAACAATTTCCTTTTAGTTTTTTTCATCACTTTTTATATGTGACTCTGTTTCTCTGGCAGGAGGTGAAGCAGCGGCTCATTGATGAGCTACAAGACTGTAAAGACAAGGCCAGGAGGCGCTCACTGGGCAACATCAAGTTCATCGGTGAGCTGTTCAAACTTAAAATGCTCACAGAGGTCATCATGCACGACTGCATTGTCAAGCTGCTCAAAAACCATGACGAGGAATCCCTGGAGTGCCTGTGCAGACTGTTGTCCACCATCGGCAAGGACCTAGACTTTGAGAAGGCCAAGGTACAACACACACACCTGCACACACAAATACATGGTTAGAGGCACATATCCATGCTCATAAATCTGTACTTAAATCAAGTTTTAATTGGAACTGTAGTCCAGGACATAGACTCACCAATTTGTTGTGGTGTTCCTCAGCCTCGTATGGACCAGTACTTCAATCAGATGGAGAAAATCATAAAGGAGAAGAAGACGAGCTCCAGGATCCGCTTCATGTTGCAGGATGTGCTGGACCTTCGACGGGTAAAGCAGAAACACACACACATACAGTACAGGTGTGATACTTTGCATACATGGCTTGGAGCATTTCAGCTGTTTATAACAACTCAAGGAAAGTGGTTGTAAGCAGAGCCAGCAGTCCAAAACTACCCGCACTGTCGAGTCTTGATGTCAGAATATCTCTGGTCAGACATCTAATATAAGAACTGTCAGCACATTTTCACTGACTATTTCCATATCAGCAGCAGTCAGCCCTGACTGTTTTGTTTTTACGCCAGACTGTTAACAGTAAAATATATTATCAAACCCATTGCACCGTATTACTTGGAAACCCACTGAATCAATGCCTTAGTCACTTCACTGATCAAGTTAAATAATTTCCTTTTTATTTTTATTTCTATTGCTTCTTTATACTTTCTGTGTTTGAGCACATAGAGTAAAACTTCCATGATAGTTTCGGTTTGTAGTGCTGTCTGTGTGTGTTAAGTTAGCTAAATCTATTCCTTTAATTTCTGCCCTATTTTTTTTCTTCTTGTTTTCGCATTTGAGTGTACACCGAAAACAATTCTAAACTATCCTTAAAGTGGCATTTTCTGTGACTGTGGTGCTGTACAACAGCCTCAGAGACACCCACACTGATCCTTTAGTCCTGGGCTCGAGTCTCATATATGGGCTAAGAAAGAAATGTCCTCCTCAGCTCTTTAATGCAGCTGCTCTGTGCCATAGACCGTTTCACACAAACTCCATCATCTCTTCTTAGTAGTAGCATGTTAATTCACCTCTACTTTTGGCTGAATTAGTAGAGTATAGAAATGAGTAATAGAGATTTCCAGTATAGTGCTAGTTCTCTCTAGTGTTAGTCTTATTTTTCTGAAGGAATGCTGCAGTCCTGTAGTTAGGCTCTCTGTCCCGCCCACACACTGTTACAAAACCTGCTGTCTTCAGTGTTTTTACAAGCCAAAATCAGCTGCTTCAAGTCAGCACATTGACCCAATTTAACTGTGAAACACACACTTTATTTCCTTTCTAGGCAAAGGCTGAAGCGCAGTTAAGAATCACTAGAATCTTGATCCCTGTCGATTCTAGTCTCTCCTATGAACACCATAGTCATAATAGCTGTCCACCGCCAGCGTTAATACACCTAGATGCCTTTGTGTCATCAGTCATAATGAGAAATACTTCAGTACCTAATTGTAGCACGACTAGTCTCACAGTCTCTTCCTCTACACCATCCTAGAACAACTGGGTTCCCCGGCGAGGCGACCAGGGTCCCAAGACCATCGACCAAATCCACAAAGAGGCTGAGCTTGAGGAGCACAGGGAGCATATGAAGGTGCAGCAAGCTCTTGTCTCCAAGAAGGAGTCGGGTGGCGGCCCGGGAGGCAGGATGGGTGGAGGAGGTTCTGGTGGTCGCGGGGGCCCTCACACCCCAGGCCGTGGTGCTCCTCCTCAGGATGAGGGGTGGAATACAGTGCCCATTTCCAAGAACCGACCTATTGACACCTCTCGCCTTAGCAAAATCACTAAGGTAGGGGAGAAAGGCGGCTTTACACCTGGCGTTAATCAGCTGGATGGTATCCTGTTTGTAGTTTTAGCAGGTAGTGTGTTTTTAACCAACAGTCTCTTCTTTCAGACTCCTGTTCTTGACTTCAACAATCAGTTGCTTGCCCCAGGAGGCAAAGGTACATGGGGGAGCTGGGGAAAGGGAAGCAGCGGTGGCACCAGCGCCAAACCTGCAGATTCTGGTAGGTTTATCAGACTGTTATACAACAAATATAGTACCTAGTATCTAGTCAAGCGCCTCACAATTGAAACTCAACATGTGCTATGTGTGTATTTTCTACCTCCAGGCTCAGAGTCAGGCGGCCGTCCAGCTACCAGCACTCTGAACAGGTTCTCAGCCTTACAGCAGCCTTCGTCTTCCTCAGGCCCTTCACTGGACTCAGACAGAAGAGTCCCTCAGAGGTGAGAAACAGGACACAATTCTCCAAGCCATCTAGGTGTATTCAGACGCAATCTTTAATCAACAAATGCACAGTTTTCTGGTGTGTGTTGTTTTGTTTTTGAAACTTTGTGTTTCTGTTGCTACAGAAACAGCTCAAGTCGAGAGCGTGGTGACTTCGACCGGTCTAATCGTGGCAGCGACCGGTTTGACAGACGGGATGAGCGACGGGACGACCGCGACCGAAACCGGCTGCAGGTCACCAAGCGCAGCTTCAGTCGGGAGAATGAAGAACGGTGCCGGGAGAGGGAGCAGCGTGGGTCAGCCGACCCTGTCCGCCGAGTAGCAAGCATGACGGACGATAGAGACAGAGGCAGCAGAGAGAGAGCCAGGAGCAAAGAGAATGGTAGGTGGCATGAAATAGCGGTAGTATAGATTTAAATTGCATATTGAAAGCTGATATAAAATTGTTCTACTGTGTTAAGAATAAAATTCTCTCTCTGGTAACACAGTCAATTTTGGAATTCCCCAAAAGAAAGGGAATGTTGGCACAAAAAACGTTATCCACACCAGATTAACTTTTTTATTAGACGTCTAATGAACTCTGACCTACATACTACACTAATACTTCTACAACGGGAACATTTACATAATATATACTTTTGTTTTTGTTTTTTCTAAAAAAAAAAAAAACAAGAAAAAATTCAAATAATGAATTCAGGTTTCTAGTGTAGAATTTTAATTCCTGCTTTGTTTTGTGTGTAAACAGCCAAGCGGGAGACGGCTGCCACCCCACCACCTCCCCAGACCCCCACCAAGCCTGCCTTGACCGAAGAAGAACTGAACAAGAAGTCCACAGCCATCATCGAAGAGTACCTCCATATCAATGACATGAAGGTACACACTGACATGCATATAAAAATGAAAAGAAACCCTACAGAGGAGTACAGATCTGTTGCTTCTTGTTCCATTACCCGCTTGTAAAGAATAAAAAATGATCCAGTCACACTGTAGTTCTTCGGTTGTATTAGCAGTAACGAATACAGCTCTGATATGACTCTGCCTATCGCTGAACAGAGAGGCTTCTATCAATCAGATGAAGTAACAGTAACTTTGAGCTACCTGCGTACACTGTTCACTGTGGATCCCTCATACATGTATATTACAGGAACAGGTACATCCTAACAGAAGGCACCCACTAACAACCTTAAACAACAATCTGTGTGTCTAATGTGTCCCAACAGGAGGCTCTGCAGTGTGTGCAGGAGATGAACAGCACTCAGCTCCTGTTTGTGTTTGTGCGAAACGGGCTGGAGTCAACGCTGGAGCGCAGCACCATCGCCAGGGAGCACATGGGCCAGCTGCTGCATCAGCTCATTAAAACAGGCATTCTCCCAACACAGCAGTACTATAAAGGGTCAGTATGGAGCCCCACAGTGGTGGCTCAATAAGTCATGTAGTTATATGTATGTTGTGTATCTTTGAGTTTTGCAGAAAACATATGAGAAGCTATAGAAAAAGAGTGCGGTTGGACTATACTCTTCTGTGAGATGTATTATAGCACAGCTTCAAGTGTTGATTAAAATAAAGTTTATAATAGCAGGATTTAAATAAACACAAGCCCACAGGGGAAATACTGGCTTCAACTAGTAAATTAGTCTCTGAGAAGTAATATTTTTTTAAGCAGTTGCTGAAATTGAGAAATCTTTAATCCACTGCGCTCAGCCAAAACAAGTCAGTTTCCATATGTTTGTGTCCGTGTGGTGCCATATTGCTTAGTTAGTCCCATCTGTTGAGTCATTTTCCTTTTTAAATCTTGAATAAACTTTGTAATGTGTGCACTGTGTGTGTGTTTCCTCAGGCTTCAGGACATCCTGGAGGTTGCTGAAGACATGGCAATAGACATCCCCCACATGTGGCTGTACCTAGCAGAACTGATCACTCCCATCCTCCACGAGGGAGGGATCCCCATGGGAGAACTTTTCAGGTTAGTCCCAGGCCTCACTCGTCCCCCCTGGCGTGTTAGAAGAGGAAATTTGCAAGAGAAGATAGCTTTTGGCTTGTTTTTAATTTGTTAATGAGATGTCTGACCTATGTTGACCTTTTATGCCTCCAGGGAGATTTCAAAGCCTTTGATCCCTCTGGGCAAAGCTGGAGTCCTGCTGGCCCAGATCCTGACTTTACTCTGCAAAGGAATGGTGAGAAAAATCAATTATAATCCCTTATCTAGATTATATTGTATCTAATAGTGTATTATCCTGACCGCTAAGTGTTTTTGAATATGTTTGAAAACTCTTGTAATTCAGTTCTAGTAGCAAAAATGTTCTGCCAATCTAGCCACATGTGATCAGTGAACCTGTATCTCCCTCATCAGAGCCAGAAAAAGGCAGGCACAATGTGGAGGGAGGCTGACCTCCAGTGGAAAGACTTCCTCCCTGAGGACGAAGACGTCAACAAGTTTGTGACAGAAAAGGTGAGAGTTCGCTCACTAGCTTCATTAACGTGAACTGGGGACATTCACTACAATATTCTCTCAGTATACACTTAATCATCTGTTATATTTACAGTGTTGGTAGTTGGTAGTTATTAGACTGTACTGTAGTATAAAAACAAAGATAAGGACTGTAGTCCCTTTTTCGAAGTGGGTGGTGACTAGGGATTGGTTATTGTTTGTATTGTTTGTGCTCTGCATGTTGTGAAAATCTTCAATAAAAAGACCTAAAAAAAAAAAAAAGATGATCATTAAGCCCGTTTCTGTCTTCATGGTGTTAACTAGGATGTGGAGTTCACACTGGGGGATGAGTCTGAGAAGAGCAAAAAGGAGCTGAGCTCTGCAGAGCTGACCAAACAGGTGGACAAACTGATCAATGAGAAGGCCGACAACGAAAGGGTCTTTGACTGGATTGAGGTTTGTGTTCCTTCTTGTGTTTGATTTCTAAAGTTTGTCTATTTGCTTCCATTCACAATCTTCACTCCTTTGTTTTTAAGTGGGCTAATAAGGCTTTGGTCACGTGTGTATCAAGCACTTGTCCTAATATTTTGAATTGCATATTAATGACATCAGTTGTACTAATTTCAGGGTGTTTCTTAAAAGTCAACAGGGTTCCCATGCGTCCTGGAAACCTAGAAATTTAGAGACTGGTTTTCCATTAATGGAAACATCTGGAAATTAATGAAAGGGACGCCGAAATATCGTGAATATAATCTACATTGTCCTGGAAAATTTTAATTGTATTTTAGCCCTTCGCTCAGATTTGTTGAACCTAGGTGTGCATTTTTTAAACTCCACTGTTGGTAGGATGAGTTGCACAGTATGAAACTTCCAAGCAGGTTTACCAGATGCAAAGCGGAACAGAAAAAAACACTAATTTCAGCTCTATTTGGAAATGCTTTCTACCTTATTTTAATAGCCTAATAGGTGAGAATAGGTTTCTGTAAAAAAAAGAAAAAGGGCTGTCGCCAAATTTATGTTACTGATAGGGGAAAACTTTCAAGCGCGGCAAGAATAAACGCTGACCACCGTTTGTGTGCAAGTGCTGTCCTGTATTGTCAAGAAAAACTGGAAAATGTCTTGGAAAATTTCTTAAAGAGTGGGAACCCTGGTAAAGTGAAGGCTAGTCATGGCTCTGCTATTTAGACAAAAACATGAGACCAAATCTAACTGAAAACCCCCTTTTTGCAGCAGAACAACCTTTTAGAGTGCAGGTCTGCATAACAGCAATTTTGTATATGGACTTTCTGAACTTTAAAGGCTGAAAGAAAAACAAAAAAAGGACATTTATAACATCAAATGTAAGTAATTAAATTCAGAATACTGAACCTGAGACATGCTGAATGTGTCCCCTGCAGCTCATTGTAAGCAAGCAAACAGAGCAGTAGGAGTCTTTTTACCTATTACAGGTTGCAACATTATGTTATTACTTTTTTTATTGATATTTGAAGCTCCAGTTTTCTGCATGTGTGTAAATACATTTGTCTTTGTGCAGGCCAACCTAGATGAACAGCAGACCTCCTCCAACATGTTTGTCCGAGCTCTGATGACCTCCATCTGCCAGTCAGCAGTCATCTGTGAGTCATCACCTTGCGTTCTTTACATTCCTCACTGAAGCCTAGACTGTCACTGATCACTACCATGGTGGTATGAATGAAAATAAGTCAGTGAGTTACTCGAGTAGTCCAGTGCAAATGCAGTAGCATTCAAGTCGACGCTTACTTGCAGACTGTGCCTTTGGAGTCCTGTTGAATGACCTTTTCCTAAAATGCCTGCAGATGAGAACCCCTACAAGGTGGACGGTGAAAAGATCAAACAGAGGGCCAAGCTGCTGCAGAAATACCTGAAGGACGAACAGAAGGAGCTGCAGGCTCTGTACGCCCTGCAGGCCCTGATGGTGCAGATGGAGCAGCCTGCCAGTGAGTGGCTGTCTTTGTTACCACAGATATAACATTTTATTTTGTGTGCATTATTTCAATATATTTCCCACAAAAATAATGCAGGCATTATAACTTTTCAGATGTGAATTCTATTAATTGTTGTTGCTTTTGATGTGAAACTGTTTTTAATTTTAGTTAAAATTGTCGAGAAATATCTTGTCAACACGTCTCTCCCCCCTCCCTCAGATCTTCTGCGGATGTTCTTTGACACTCTTTACGACGAGGACGTGATCAAAGAGGAGGCCTTCTACAAGTGGGAGTCTAGCAAAGACCCCGCCGAGCAGCAGGGCAAGGGCGTCGCCCTCAAGTCCGTCACCGCCTTCTTCACCTGGCTCCGCGAGGCCGAGGACGAGTCCGACAACAGCTAGGCCCCTCCGCTGGGAGGAACTGGTGGGAGTTCAGAGAGGATCCTTGGGGAGAGCGAATGTTCTGTGGATGATTCAGAGAACTCTGAATCAGCAAAATCCTTCTGCATAAACAGAAAAAAAAACCAAGAAAAAAATTCTTCAACTGGGAGAGATTGTATTATGGATCGAACGTTCGATCATGTTATTTTTTTTGTTTCCTTTTTTTGGGTTTCTTGTTTTTCCTTGAGCAATCGAATGTCTTTTTTGAAGTAAATGAAAATACAGGATTAAATAGAGAGAATAGATATGAGAGAGAGAATGCTGAGAAGCGTTAAAAGCCGTGGGAGATAATGTTTCCTTCAGTATTTTTTTGAGGTTTATCTCCTGTTTTCAAATGGCTTTTCCTCGCCACAGCAACACTATTCAAGACACTTTGCTTAATGACAGATATATAAGAGAACTTTAAAAGGCTGTTCACATCTATATTTTTGATGACTTCATCCTTTGTCATGTGGACACGACACAGACACGTTGTCATGTCACATGTACGGTGTTTGATCTACATGACACGCTTGTGTAGACGGCTAGCTATGTTTCTCTTTCTTTTCCCTTGTTGGATGATTGGAGTGTGTTTTGTAAGAAAATAGAAAACTACAAAGAAAAGTGGCGAGAGCGGACATTTCAGATAGGAGTTAGTGTAACGGTTGTGGACTCCCGAGGATTTCACGCAGACTTTATGAGGACGGTGTCACTATGGGGAGGGGGTGATGAACATTGACCATTTTTGCTGCTCGGGAGTGACGATTGCTGCCCCCGACGCCCCTCAAACCCAAGCCCAAACCCCAGTATACCCTCCGACGTGTCTGTTTCACATGTTTCCTGCGCTTCAAAAAACAAACTGTGGACTGAGAAGGGGAGAGCAAGAGCGAGGGCTCACGGCTGCACCTTCCTGCGAAGCCCATTGTCGGATTTTAAAAAGATAAGATATTGTTATTGAAACTTGAAGAGAAAAGTATACAGTCAAAAATCCACTTTAATGAAAAACTTTAAAAATAGTTTAACAGTACGAATCCTAAGGCCTTTTCTGCTTCCATGAGTGGAAATGCATTTCAGGAGAGTTCTGTAAATATATGATGGATTGTGTATTTTTTTTGTTTTGTTTTTTTGTTTTGTTTTGTTTTTTTCAAAGATAAAATGCTCTTTTCCCTGTATTTATATATTTCTCTCCTCAGCTGGCAGAAGGTGCTTGTAATTATCCAACCCAAGTCATTGATTACAAGTTAATTGAAAATTTGTAAATATTTTTGCTTTACTTTATTAAAAAGATATTTAATTAAAGAAAATTAATGCCTCTTTTCACATCCAAAACTGGAAGAGATAATAAAGATCGTTGCCAATAAAAGAAACTCCTGTGCGTTTGTGAAGACTGCTGTGGGGCTGTCCTCTCTGATCGCAGACGATACGCTCCTGTATTCTGCCTCACAACAGAGCTGATCACATCTATTGTACAGTCAGCAGCCCATTCAGAGCTTGTTGTTTGTGTTCCTCAAGCCATTTACACTAAGCTCTGTGAATGCACGGGTGTGGCTTATATTGTGTAGTATGTACTAGGTATTGTGTGTTTCCATGCTGCGAGGGCGTTTAAGTTAACTGTCAACCGTGGGGGGAAAAAGGTTTAACCTGTAGCTCTGATCAGAACTGCAAATTTACTTACAGGATCTCTGAGTACTTTAAAGGTGTCCTGTGGAGTTTCCTTTGTTTACATTCTGAATCCTTCAGGTCCAACAAATGTGCTGGATGCATTTCCTTCCTCATAAAACATTTGCAAAGCTGCTTGAAACCTGCATTGTTTACGTTCTGGTGTTTCTTGGCACGTCGCCACCACCTGTGAAAAATAGGGACCCACTTATAAAAACACTGCTGAATAACGCTGCTTGTTCTCGAACACTCCACAGGGTACCTCAAAGCCAGAATTTCCATTGCTAAAGTTTCCCCTTGTTGCCACCTGGGCCTTCCAGCATGTATTCTCACCTAATTCAAAGGCCACGTTCACACTGCAGGCACAAGTGAAGTCAATTCACATTGTTTTGCTTATATGTGACTCAGAACAGTTTTTTTTCATGACAAGCCCAAAGCACATGGAATCTGACCTTTTCAATTCCACTTTTCATACGTGGTCCAAATCAGACAGGTCTGACGTATTGTGACCTCAGTGTGAACACTGCGACCTTTATGTCACTCTA